TCTCTCTCTCTCTCTCTCTCTCTCTCTCTCTCTCTCTCTCTCTCTCTTCCCCTTTCTCTCTGTCTCTGTCTCTCTCTGTCTCTGTCTTTTTCTGTCTCTTTCTGTCTCTGTCTCTCTGTCTCTGTCTGTCTTTCTCCCCACCCCCCACCCATGATATCATTGGTATCAGGATCTTCCAATGAGAAACTTCCTCTACCCTACCAATGCAGACTGGCAGCTTCTCCACATCTTAGATTGTTAGAGAGTTTCCTGGGGAATTGAGAGGTTAGGTGACTTGCCAAGGGTCACACAGCTAGGACGTGTCAAAAGTGGAACTCAAATTCAAGTCTTTATGACTCTGAGGTCAGCTCTCTACTATTAATTCTTTTCATATTCTTATGTTACAAAGACATGAATATTACATGATCCAAAGTCTGATGACGTTTACTACTTAAAGCTGTGTGGCTCTGGGTGAGTAAATCATCACATTTTGGTAACTGAGTATAAGAATGCCACAGATCAATGATGCTTGCTGAGTATGACAGAAGAACAGGACTCTGATTCTTGAACAATGTCTTTTCATCTTACAGGGAAAATATTTGAAAGCAAAAATATCACTTTGTTGTGCAAAATGAAGTACTTTTTGATATGACTTTTAAAAGATTGTTTATAGATTTAAATAGCCTAACTACGTATGCAACTTTGAATATGTCGGTACTGAAATGTATGAATGCTTGATCTCAACTTTTTAACAACTAATCATAGTCTTTTAAAACAGTGATCATAGTAACACTTACTTTTGGCATCTATCAGCTTCTCTCTTGGTGAAATATCAGAAGAAGAAAGCTGTTCCTTTACTTTAGCAACATCTTTTGGATGTAAGTAGTCAAATAAGCTTTGTCCAGTCAAACTTGCCTAATTGTAAGATAGATTGTTCATTTCAAAGCAGCATAATAAATCCTACTCCCACTTTCCCTCCCAGATACACAAAATAAATGTGGTTACTTTTGTTGAAGTTCATAATAAACAAAGAATTTTCATGATGCAGTGTAAACTTAAACTAATCCCTTTTATGTTGGGGTAAATATTATTCACTTCCTCTACATTCTCTCTCAAGTCCCCCCCATTCTCCTGCCCACTCCTCTGCCAACAGTCAATAGAACTGATAAATTCAATTTAGTACCATACATTTCCAAATCCATACATTTGCATTCTAATCACACTAGGAAATATCTTAAAGTCATTTAGCCCAGAAAAGAAGTAAAGTATTGTAAATGAAAATGTGGCAGACAAAGATAGCAGTGATTCTATAAAGTAATTTATAATTCTAGTAAAGAACAAAGTAATTCCAGTAAAGAACAAAGAGATGGATAAAACCATGCCAAATCTATGACCAAAATAACAACCCAGCTGTCCTTTGAGTGTACCACGTGATTCCTTCTTGCGTACCTTTGGCTTATACTATTTCTGAAACCTGGAAAGCTCTTATTTCATCATCTCTATTTCTTTAATTCCTACTCATCTTATTTCCACTTCCTTTCCCAACCACTTCCACCCACAATGATTTCTCTGACGACTCTTTGTTGTTTGTATACTGTTCTCCCTTCCTGGAACATCTCTCTTCTCCAATTACCTAAGTCCTAACTTTCTGTGCCTTTGTGATAGAGTGGAAAGAATACTGAATTTTAGAAAGAATTAAAGTTGTAGGCTAATCAAAAGGCAATGGAAATTAATACAGTTGGTGTGAGTAGATTACAATACGTTACTGAAGAGGAATTGAGCAGAAGGACATAGCATAAAAGACATTATTACAGAAATGTTTGTAATCCAAAAAGGACATGGGCTTATCATGTAAAGAGAGTGAGGGATAACTCATGGCTATCCAGTGTGCTAAATCAAAACCTAAATGTCAAGAGACCTAGAAGACTAACAGGTGATAATAGAGAGGTGATAGAACGAGAGGTGAAGAATGAAATATATGTTCTTGGACATAGCTAATGTTTCGATTTGTTTTGCTTAACTCTGCTTATTTGTTATTGAGAAAAATTGGACGGGAGGAGTAGATGTAAAGGGGAAAATAATAACGCAAAAACAAAGAATGATAAGAGACTCAGTGAAAAAAAAATTTGAACAACATAGAAGGAAGTTCAGAAGGAAATCTGGACAAACAGGACAACTCTGAAACTAACATGTGGAATGTATTATCTACTTTAGAAACTTAGCTATATATGATGGAGATTTGTGATTCATGAATAATCCTGTTTTTCTCTGTTCTCTGTATTTGGAAATTCTCTTATTTGTTGGTGTTTAGCAAGCTCAGAATGAAAAAAAAGGGGGAGACCTGGAAGAAGGCTCCCTATACTCTGAGTGGATCCCGTGTGGACAATTTATCTGAAAACATGGATGAGAATTGTACGGGATGAAAAGTTGTGAGTGGATTGTGGATAGATTATTATCTATACTGTAGGAGGAAGTACCCAAGTAGAAGAGATCACAGATCTATACCAGTATCGATTCTGATTAGTGCAAATAATTAATTCCCTTAGAGTTACATTATTTGAATCTGCACTACATATTCCATTGAATTGGAACCAATTACCATCTTTCATATAATAACTTCAAACAGTGAGAATTCAAATAAATGAAACCCCTTCAGGGGATTTGGTATTCCTGTTTTTCAATACCACAGTTTCTTAGGAAGCAAAGTAACCCAAAGGGCATTCATTAGTCCTTTAGGAATGAAGCCACTGTCATTATCACAGTATTTTACTCAAGGGCATATTTTGAAACAGTATCATGCAAGATTATATTGTAAACTTTCTCAATAGGAACACTACTTTTGGAATTTTGACATTAATGAATAGAAAGAAGTTACTTAGATACAATATATTTGTTCAAAAAAGTTAGAACTAAACTACCCTAAGTTTTTGAATAGCAGTGTGACATACCTGATCATAATTGAGTGTTTTGGAGACTGATTTAGAGACAAACAGAATTTTTCCTCGATCACATCCAACAACAAATAAGAACCCATCTGCAACCTATGATAATAATAATAATAATAATAATAATAATGTTGTAAGTGATTCTTTTTCATATTTTGAAAGGTTTGATTTTGAAGAAACTATTGTGGCCTATAGAATAAGTCTTCATTTAATTTGCATCCTAAGAAAAATTAAATAAATTTAAGTAAAAAATTTAAGTAAAAGATAACCACGGTATATAATATCCTTAAGTTAAATCTAAGTACAAACTCATGCTTTTGAACTAGAAAGAAAGTTCAGACATGGAATACAATTCTCTGGTCTTAAAAGTTATCATATTTCTTTTCATAACAATTATCCTTACGAGATCTCTATGTATTTCAATGTATCAGTGACATACACTTGGGGATCACATTTTTATTTTAAAAGGGTTTAGAAAAGTTTGCCAGTCATTCAATTAACAACACTTGTAACTTGACCTTGGTTGTTCGGACCACATGAACAAAATACCTACCACTGTCTATGGACAATGTATTCTGATTGCAGGCTCCCACTGTGAGGGGTGAGTTGAACCTCTTGAAATTTAACCTGAAAATCTAAATTCCATTAAAATACCCTGCATTTCCTCTTCCCCCTCACTGAAGCAAATAGAAAGTGATTACCATCACATAAAGCATCTTAGAATTTTATTATAAGCAGCTAGGTGGTGCAGTGGATAGAGCACCAGGTCTGGAATCAGTTCAAATCTGAACCTAGTCACTTACTAGCTGTGACCCTGGGCAAGTTACCCTGAAGCAACTAAACGGCACAGTGGATAGAGTGCCAGGACTGAAGTCAGGAAGACTGATCTTCCTGAGTTCAAATCCGACCTCAGATACTTACTAGCTGTGTGACCCTGTGCAAGTCACTTAACCCTGTTTGCCTCAGTTCCCTCATCTGTAAAATGAGCTGGAGAAGGAAATGGCAAACCACTCCAGTATCTTTGCCAAGAAAAACCCAAATAGGGTCACAAAGAGTCAGATACAACTGAAATAATCGGACAACAACATTTTATTATAAAATTCCCACATAGCCAATACTTTCTAACTAGAAAGAGATTCAGCATAAATTGGAAAGCCTAATGGAATTTAGTAAACAAGATCAGCATGATATTAGTGTATGAAAGGAAAAGCAAGAACTAGTGAAAATAGTACCAAATAATATTATATTTTTCCTTTAAATATTCTATGTGTATATTTGAAGGTTCAGTAGGGAATATGGTTTATGTTTAATAGTTTCAATTATGTTTAATAGCTTCAATAATAACTTTTTAGTATAAAAGGAGCTAGAAAAGTAGGCGAATCCCTCATCTATCATCATAGCTTAAAACTGGTAGCTCAGACCACATAGGCCAAAACAACTACCAACACACATGACCCGGGTGGTGATGCTACCATTCCCTAATCATAGATAGGATCAAGTTTTGAGGGAGAAAGGTGAACCTAAAGCTCAAACATAGGAAGTGAAGATGACAGTTCCAAGCCATTTGCTGACAATCACTTAATCAGAGATTAGGTATAGAGAAAGAAAGAAGAGAATATAGATGAGGGAATTTTGAGGGAATAGACATGGGGATAAAAAAATAATAATTTAAAAATTAATAATAGACATATTGTTGTTGTTGTTCAGTCATTTCAGTCATATCCGACTCTTCAGACCTCATTTTGGGATTTTCTTGGCAAAGATACTAGAGTGGTTTGCCATTTCTTTCTCCAGCTCATTTTACAGATGAGGAACTGAGGCAAGCAGGGTTAAGTGACTTGCCCAGGGTCACACAGTTAGGAAGTGTCTGAGGCCAGATTTGAACTCAGGAAGATAAGTCCTGATTCCAAGCCCAGCACTCTTATCTACTGTGCCAACTGGCTGCCCATGTATGTATGTATGCATGCATGCATGTACATATATTTCTTTAATGTTTGCAAAATGTTTCTATGCAGAAAAGATCTCTGGGCATCAGAACAGCTGGTGGAATCGGGGTTTAGGAGGAAGCATGAAAGAACCATAGCCCTTAGGTGGAATGCTGGGCTAATGATAAAGGAAGAACAGTCACAAACTACCTTAACCGTACCAATTTACCTAGTCTTGTCCACTCATACTCCTTCCCTACCTTGTTAATGTTGAAATTCATATACTATGGGCAAACGACAGGGCTCATTGTTCCAAAGAGGAAGCAAGTTAAAGATCTCCATCCCCCAAGTCAAACAAAAAGGAAAGGCAAATAAGAACAAGAATGGAAGAAATATATGTCTTGACTTACCTTGAGGATTAAATGTCTCAGCTCATCATCCTGTATAAATGTAGGCTTATAATTATCTCCTGCATAAGAACTGGTAGAGCCTAAAAATAAGAAGCAAACATAAAGAGGTCCTGAAAACACATTCTAGGATGAAATATACATTGATTTCCAGAAATCTTTTTTAAAACATTGTCATAAAGCTCATAGTCAACTATGTATAGGACTCACAGTGGAAGCTGGTGAAAGGAATTCTGCTCCTTGAGGCAAACCTGTTTTTTTCCCCCCTAATGTGAAGTGAAGGAAATATAAAAGACTTACTCTGGAACTGTGATTGTATGAGATATGAGACTTACCTTTTAGGGTAAGAGTGTACAGTCAAATTGGGGCAGCTAGGTTGTTCAGTAGATAGAATGCAGGGCCGGGAGTCAGGAAGACTCATCTTCCTGAGTTGAAATCTGATCTCAGATGCTAACTAGCTCTGTGACTCTGGGCAGGTCACTTAATCCTGTTTGCCTCAGTTTCCTCATCTGTAAAATGAGCTGGAGAAGGAAATGGCAAGTCCCCTCTCCCCCCGGTATCTTTGCCAAGAAAACCTCAAATGGTGTCATGAAGAGTTGGGCATGACTGATAACAACTGAACAGCAACAAAAATACAGTCAAATGATTTACTTAAGGATGAGACCTGGAAGTTTCATTTTTACCAGTGGAGTCCTTAAAAGATCATAGATTTAGAGCTGGAAGGGACTTTATAGGCCTTCAAGTCTAACTACCTCATTTTGCAGATGAAGAAATTGAGGTTGAAAGAGGTTAATTGATTTGTCCAGGATTACAAAGCTAGTAAATATCTGGGTCAGGATTTGAACTCAGGTCTTTACTAACTTCAAGGCCAACTCTTCACGAATTGGGCCATCTAGCTGCCTTATTGAAGTCATCCTTTTTTTCTTTCTATTTTGTGAGGATTCTTTATTTATTTCCTTTCAAATGACAAATTAACGGACAGAAGGAACTACGTATTTTTTAATGCATGTGCAAACACAGCAAATTCTTTATATGCAAAGAAAATTTATTTATTTGAAGTTAAAGTCTGGCACATAATAGGTGCTTAATAAATGTTCGTTCATTTCCTTGTTCAATATAAATACAATAAAATTATATTTCTCAGCAGCTTTATTTCTAATATTGTTTGGCTGACTGGGTAAATAAAGTAGCACAGACTGGATACACAATTTTCCTGTGTTCAAAATTTCACAAAGGGAAGCAGGGCCATGGAAGTGGACACTGTTTTCAGGACTGTGATGCTCCAAGTAAAAACAAATTACCTCCTACTCCCGAACATAACATAAGCAATGTAACATCACAGATTTAGAGCTGGGAGGGATCTCAGGGGATTTCTAGCAAAGCAAAGTGAAAATAGAAAGAATCCACTAGTCATCTCTGGAAAGAAACCCCAAAATGAAAACACCTAGGAACCTCAGCTAAAATCAAGAGCTTAGAGTTTGACAGTCAACAAGTATTTACAGGACAAGGGAAAGAAAGGAGATGGGTAAAGAAATTACCGTAGAATTTGAATTGAGTTTTCTGCCTTCTAGCTCCCCTTGCTTTCTGTTATTTCTATGATTTGTTCTTTGACCTACCGATCCTTTGATTTATTATAATTGTTATTGACTTTCCAATTAAATTTAGTCCTTTACTCAAAGGTCCATTATTGAATATAATTTTCATTGCATTGTGGTTGTAAATGATGTGTTTGATATTTCTGCTATTATGAATTTGAGGTTTTTATGCCCTAGGACATGATCAGCTGAAGGTGGGAGTAATCTGTTGGAGAAGATATAAAGAAATAATAGAAAATTTGATTAAAGCAAATGATAATTGAGACCACAACTCTGAATATTCTTGTTTGTCAGGGCCTAACCTTTCCTTGATTTTTTTTTGCAACAGCTTTTTTTTAAGTCTTTCTAATAGTATTTGACTTTCTTTGAAGGACTGAGTTCAGTTCAACAAACATTTATTAAGTACCTATTGTATACATAGCATTGTCCTTGCCTTCATGAAGAGTACAGACTAATGGGGAATAAGACATCAACATAGATAGCTCTTACATTTTAAGTACATTAGGGAATGACAAAACAAAGTGCTAAGTGAGGTCCAAAAGGGGAAACTCATTAATAATCCAAGAATCAGGGTATGCTTTGTGGAGGAGGTCACATCTGAGTTGAGTTCAGGTTTTAATGTCAGGGTCATTAAAAGGAACCAGGGATGTTTAACTTTGACAAAAGAAGTCTTAAGAAGACTTAAGAAGAAAAAGAATTTTTTTTTTTTTTAGAAATTGCCATATGTAAGAAAGATTGACTTATTGTATTTGGTCCCAGAGGGCATTTGAATTGAACTGAACCAAGCAAAAGCTAGAGACAGGTATATTTTGGCTCAATATAAAAATTAACTTCCTGGCAATCGTAAGTTCCATGCAACTGGAGACCTTCAAGCAGAGACTGAATGGTTGACTGTCAGGAATGTTGTAAGGGGGTTTCACATAGGGGGATTTGACTTGATGGTATTTTGTTTCCAACATTAAGATGTTATGATTGATTTGTTACTGAGATCAAAGCTTAACAAAAATGTTATGTAAACTTCATGGCAACCTTCACTGATGTCAAAAGATCAAGTAATCTATTACACAACAGACTGATTAAAAATTGGGTCCCAGAAAACTCCCCCAAAAGAAGGCTCCCCAGATAACTCCTGCCACTAACCATTCCACCGCCATCACCAGGAGCATCAGGACCTTTTCCTCTCCCATTTGACCTATAGAATCTCTGTCCTACTATATATTTTAGGATACAGCACACATACAAAGGTCAGCTATTTAGACTATGAGAGCTACTTTAACAGGTCTCTCATGGACAGCATAGTGCTATAGAAACTGCACTGAATCTGGAATGAGAAGACCTGGTTTCAGAGCCTCTGGTAATTAACCACCTGTGTACCTCCCTCCACACCTCAATACTTTCCCAGGATATTATCCCCTCACTGGTTACACTCTCTTCTCTTCCTTACCTAGACCCACTGGGGAACCAGTTCAGTCTACACTATCCTCTACTCTAATTCTTTGCCCCTTGTCCTATTGCTGATCATGCCTTGCCAAATCTCAACCTTGGATTACTTCTACTATCTACCACCTTTACTCTCATTCACATGCTGCTGAACAAAGCTGAGGGAAGTCACAAATCCATGCTGATTAGGTCTACTATAAAGTTATGTTATATAAACTCAACTGGACCCTCATGTCAACAAGGCAATCCTTTACCCATGATGAAAAATTCTATCCACCTCCAGAGGGAAAACTGATGAACTCTGGATGCAGATTGAAGCATACTTTTTTCACTTTATTTTTCTTGTTTATGTGTGTGTATGTGTATGTGTGTGTGTGTGTATGTGTGTGTGTGTGTGTGTTTGTATGTGTGTGTGTGTGTGTTTTCTTTTGCAACATGGCTAATATGGAAATACATTTTGCAGGAATTCACATGTATAATCCATATCATACTGCTTGCCTTTCCGAGGGGTGGGGGAGGGAGAGAATTTGGAACTCAGAATTTTAAAAAATGATTGTTAAAATTTTTTTAAATGTAATTAGGAAATATCTAATGAAATAAATAAAAGTATTTTTTAAAAAACATGGCAATCCTTTTACTCCTCTCTCATCGATTCTCTATCCCACTCACCACCACAGTGTCTGTTCCAAACCTTCTTATCTTTCTTCAAGTATCCCAAGGCACCCCCTCCTACTCTCTCAGCTAAAGACCTCACTTTATATTCACTGAAAAAAAATTGAGGCCCTTTATTAAGAGCTCCCTCTTCTTCTCCCCTCCTTATCTCACATCCCTCTGACATCTCCCCACTTTCATCTTTACTCTAGCCTCCAATAAAGAAATGACCCTTCTCCTTGCGTAGGACAACCCCATTGCAAGAATCCTTGATCCCCTCTCCTCCTATCTTCTCTGACAGATTGCTCCCACCTTCATCTCTACACTCTCTCTAATCTTCAATCTTTATCTCTCTACTGGCTCCTTCCCTACTGCCTACAATTACGTTCATGTCTCCCCCATCCTCAAAAAACCCTGGCTTGATCCAACCATCTCTGCTAGCTATTGTCCTATATCTCTCCTCTTCTCAGCTAGACGTTCTTTTTTTTTTTTTTTTTTTTTTGGGCTAGGTAATGGGGTTAAGTGACTTGCCCAAGGTCACACTGCTAGTGAGTGTTATGGATCTGAGACCGGATTTGAACTCAGGTCCTCCTGACTCCAGGGCCGGTGCTCTATCCACTGCACCACCTAGCTGCCCCCTCAGCTAGACTTCTTTAGGAAACTTTCTATCCTAGATGCCTCCACTTCATGTCCTCCCACTCTTTTCTAAACCCACTTCACTCTATCTTCCAATCTCATTATGTAACTAAACCTGCCCCTTCCAAAGTTACCACTTATCTCTTCATTGCCGAATCTGAGAACCTGCTCTCAGTCCTTATCCCTTCTGATCTCTCTCCAGCACTGGGCATTGCTGACCATCTTCTCCTAGATACTCTCCTTTCTGAGTTTTCCTGTCACTCTTCTGTCTTGGGCCTCCACCTACCTGTCTGTTCTTTCTCAGTCTCCTTTGCTGGGTCTCCTCCAGAATATGTTCACTAATGTATTTCAGGGTTCTATTCTGGGTCCTCTTATCTTTTTACTCTATGCCCTCTTCACCTCCCATAGGTTCAATTTTCATTTCTATAAAGATGATTCCTAGGTCGACAGATCCACCTCTATTCTCTCTCTTGGGCTCCAGTCTTCTATCACCAAGTGCATATTGAACAATTCAAACTGGATGTCCCATAAGCACCTGAAACTCAACATATCTCATTATATTTCTCCCCAAATCCTCCCCTTCATACTTATGTGGAGCATCACCAAACCTCCAGTCACTCAGCTTCCTCCTCCAATCTCCACTCTCATTTACCACCCATATCCAATTAGCTGCCAAATCTTGTTGGTTCTTCCTTCACAACATTGATTGTTTATGTCCTATATGCTCACACAACCACCACCCTTATTATGGTAATAGTCTTTTACTTGACCTCCCTGCTTCGATTATCTCCCCACTCTAATCCATCTTTTACACATCTACCAAAGTTATTTTCCTAAAACACAACCCTGACCATGCCACTTCCCTGCCTAATAAATTCCAGTAGCTCTCTGTTACCTTTAGGATCAAATATAAAATTCTCTGTTTGGCATTTAAGGTTTTTGAAAGCTGGACACTTCACATTTTACTCTTCTCCATACTCTAGGATCTAGCAATACTGGTCTACTTGTCTACTCAAATACGGTGCTCTATCTTTCATTCATCCCTTCAGCTTTTCCCCCATGCTTGGAATGTTCTTTCACTTTCGTTGTTGTTCAGTCATTCAATTGTGTCTGACACTTTGGGACCCTGTATGGGGTTTTCTTGGCAAATATACTAGAGTGATTTGCCATTTCATTCTCCAGTGGATTAAGGCAACCAGGTTTAAGTGACTTGCCAAGGGTCACATAGTTAAGTGAGTGTCGGAGGCCAGATTTGAACTCAGGTCTTCCCGAATTCAGGCCCAGCAGTGAGCCACTTATCTGCCTTTCTTCCTCTTTATTTTCCTGCTTCTGGACATCATTGGTTCCTTTAAAGACTCGGATCAAATGCCACTTTAAGTAGAGGCCTTCCCAGTTCGCTCACCCACTGGAACCATCCCCTTTATGGTTACTTTCCTTCCACTCATGAAAATGACTATCCATTTACATATCATCTCCCCCATTCATATGTCAGACTAACTAGAGACAGTAACACAACTGTGAAGTAGACATCATTAGTTCAGATCAAAAAATTATCACATAATTTTTAAAAAATACTTCCCTACTCACCTTTTAAGGACTTTAAATGCTGTACAGCCATTCTCAATACGGTAAGTTTATCCAGTTTGCGGGCTATGGGATTGCACTGAGGGATCATAGCAGATAGTTCTTCAATTAGGTTATTCATTTTATCTCTCCTCCGTTTTTCTGTCTGACTATGAGCTTCTCTAAAAAGAAAAATGAATTTCATTTCAGTGGAAGATTCAAAAAAAATCTAGTGACCGAGGATAAGCCAGAAAGCATGTCTATCTAACCTTTCCTTTTCTCCTGTAATACTTGGACAATAGGATCATAGAATCATATATTTAGAACTAGTAGGGCCATTTAATACAACTCCCTCGTTTTGCAAATGAGGAAACTGAAGCACAGAGAGATTGAATGACCTGTTCAGGGTCATGCAGCTGCTAAGTATCTGGGGAAAGATCTGAAATCAGGTCTTCCAGATTGAAAATCCAGAGTGCTACTTACTACTCCAGGCTGTGGATAAAAACTCCTTGGGATTTTTATAACTCACGAAATTATTTTTTACTTTTTTTTCCCATTCCCATACTTCTCTACACATTAGTTCCCAAGTATCTTAGGCTTTTCACTGTATTTGCCAATAGTTCACATTCAAATGGAAAGTAATGGCCTCTAGTTTATTGGCTGGGCAGCCATATGACTCAGCGAAGTCATGTAGTGCTGGGCATGGAGTCAGGAGGTCCTGAGTTCAAATTCTTCCTCAGACACTTACTAGTTGTGTGACCCTGGGCAAGTCGCGTAACCTCTGACTGACTCAGTTTCAGGGTTTTTGTAAGGACCAAATAAGATAATAATTCTAAAGCTTTTAGCGTACTTGGCCCAAAGTAAGTGCTATATAAATATAGGAAGAGGATAATGGTGAGGATGATGAAGATGATGATGATGATAGAAATGGAAGTTCAAGGTGGGTTCCAGACTTGTGATTTGATCACTGTAGGGGACCTGTGGTGTGGGAATGCCTTCTACCAATATCGATTAGAGACTCATTGTCTTAGACGGTGGGTGGGGCACTGAGAGCTTCCCCTGGTCACACAGTTAATGTCCAAGGCAGGGACTGAACACAAGTCTTCCTGACTCCAAGGCTAATTCTCACCTACTACATCAGAGGTATCAAATACCCACTGCTGCAACACTCCCAAATGCTGCCCGAACTAAATTAAAATGTACTTGGGAAATATTTAACAAAATAAATAAAAATATAATGGAACACAGATATGTTAACATATGATATTCTCAGTCAATATTTAGCCAACAATGATCCTTATGTACTGTTTAATGTTCCCCAGTTCTATTTGACTGTGAATTTTCACTGCACCACGCCATGTTGTTGTTGTTGTTGACTAGTTTTTCAGTTGTGTCTGACTCTCCATGACCCCATTTGGGGTTTTCTTGGCAAAGATACTAGGTTTGCCATTTCATTCTCTAGCTCATTTTACAGATAAGGAAACTGAGGCAAACAGGATTAAGCAACTTGCCCAGGACCACACAGTTAGTAAGTGTCTGAGGTCAGATTTGAACTCAGGGATATGTGTCTTTCTGACTCCAGGCTGGGCACTCTAACCACTCCCAGGTACCACCACACCATGGTGCTTCTCAATACTAGTATATCCCACTCAAATTCTAAGCCTTTATTACCAGATAATTTCTGAATTAAAATATCATTATTGTCCTCATGGCTGCTGTTTATTGACTTTTCTGTTTGCTTTCTGATTATGCATTAGCCTTAACACTAAAATGGATCCAGAAGCTGGACATCAGAAGGTTTATAGAGCAGGACTAATATAATTGCTTTGAGAAGGAAGTTTGGCATAATCTGCTTCTGTCTGAAGTCCACTATCCATGGGAAGCAGTCAACCAAAAAGATTTAAGGAAGATTTCATCAGAGAAAGATTACTCAACTAGTTTGTGAATTATCAGGGCCTTGGCTTTTCCTACTGCCTATTTCTGGACCATTTAGGTGTTTATTAGCATTTCCATCAGAAAGTGGGCAAAATGGAAAGGAAACACAATGGAAATGACTCAGTCCTACCAGTTAATAGTTATGATACAATTAGTTTAAGGTTTGATGGAAGAAAAGGTCAAAACTATTGACTAAAATAATGTTTAGGTATTATATGAGTATTTCAATCATCTTCCCAAGGATATTTAAGGGCTAGCTACATAACCTGGATCTGTTTTCCATTATAAATTCTAAATAATAACACAGTTTAAAGAGCTGTTCAAAAGGAATTTTTAAAATATTCGTACCAATTATTTAAGCTGAAATGATATCTAAAGTAATCAAGAAGCGCAGCAAGAGACAGGAAATCACTTCTGCCCAGTCTTTTTTCTTTCCTTAACAAGAACAAAAAGTCCAAGCCAAAGGTCAAGAACCCAGTCTATTTCTGACTAATTCTAAGAACATCAACTAAAGACTGTTCATTAGAAACAAATATTACCAAAACATCGACCAACTCACATATTAATGTACCTGAAGGACTTCATTTTCACTTGTTTACCATCTTCCATTCTATAAGAGAATAGGATAAAACATGAAGCTATATGAAAAAGACTTTCATATTAGTCTTAGAAGAGAAATCCAATACCTAGTATCATGAAACCAAGTCTAATCAGCCTGAATCCTCTTAAATCCTTGGTTACAGAAGCCATGAGCTAGCACACAGAACTCTCAATATATCAACACAGAACTCTCAATATATCAACACATGCAAGAGCTGCTCTCCGATGAACAGCACCACCATGGAGCTCCCCAATCCCTTCTCAGGGATAAGGACAATAGTACAATGACCTTCCATCTACATGCAAAATTTAGCCTACTTTCAGCAATCTCCCATCAAGCTTTCCTTTTGGCTTCTTAAGTCCCCAGAAATCTTAGAAGATCATATTCTCTACTTACTTTATAATCTCAACAACAGAAACAGAACCACTAGGAAGGGTACAATTTCTAGAGGTAAAGTGGCAAAAATGATATTTGATCAATAAAATAAAGTTTAATATCCACATGAGTTTGTGCTATCATAGTGAGGAGGAAAACTAGGGGGGGAAAGAGAAAGTTTTCATAGAAAAAATTAAAAGAGGGTTTTAAATGCTAATTTCACAAATATCATATTCTATACATTTTGTTGTTGTTGAGCCATTTTTTCAATCTTCTCCACTCTTAGTGACCCTATTTGGAGTTTTCTTGGCAAAGATACTAGAGTGGTTTCCCATTTCCTTCTCTATGAGAGAAACTGAGAAAAACAGGATTAAATGACTTGCCTGGGGTCACACAGCTAGTGTCTGAGGTAACATTTGAACTCAAGTCTTCCTGATCCCAGGACCTGTGCTCTATCCACTGTACCACCTAGATGCCTTTACATACATAGACACATACATACATTCATATATGTATGTATGTAAACACATATATACACATCCTACATGTGTATAAATACATATTATAGGTTACCAATCACTTTCACATACATTAATTGATCACAAAATAATATTTAACCTAACAATAAGTACATTGACCCACAGAATTATCTAAGACTAAAATAAATCACTAGGCAGATAAGAGTTTTAATAAAGAGTGAAACTATGGTCTCTACCTCTAAAGCATCAATGGTGAATTGGTTCAGTGAGTAATGCTCCTATCCAACAGAAATGCAAACATTAGAATAACAGTTAATATGAAATGAATTAAATTTTTTTAGCATTAAACATTTTATCAGCTATGTGACTTTTGAGTCAGATTTAATCAATCAGCAAGCATTTATTAAGTGCCTACTATGTTTTAGGTACTGGAGATACAAAATGAAACCATTTCTACTTATAAGGGACTTAACAGAATCTTCTAGTAAAGGTAGTCTTAAAGAAATGATTGCACATTCCAGAAATAAAGAGTGGTAGTGCCATAGAAACGACATACACACTCATGGGAATAACTTTCCTTTTCCTCCACTGAAATAATTAATAGTTTCAATACAAGGATCTAAGACATCTCCAGAGGCCTTGTGATGGAAAATGCTATCCACATCCAAAGAAAGAACTATGGAAGTTGAATTGCTACTTTTTTTCTTCTCTTCTGTTGAGTTTTCTTCCTCTTTCTGATGGTTCCTCCTATTGGTTTTAATTTTTACTTACAACATCACTAATGTGAGAATACGTTTAATATGAATGTAAATGTATAGCCTATAAAAAAAGGAAGTATTCAAGATGTACAAGATGTGCATTAAAAATCAGATTTCTGAGTAGTATAAAAAAAGAAATAATTAATAGTTACTTTGAAAATAGTTGATGATTTACCTGCTTTGTTGATGGTCCATAACAATTTCAACAGCTTCTCTGCAGAAATAAAAAAGGATGAACAAATTAAAATGTACTTTTTTCTCCCCTTTTTTACTCTGATTTCACAATTAGGGGTAAAGCAGAAAAAAATTGAATAGTAGTGATAACTAATGATACTCTCCAATAGGCTAGCTAGAATCATATATAGAGAGAATATATATAGAGAGAGATACATATGTAGAGATATATGTATACAATATATGTGTGTGTACGTATATTTATTTATTTATTTATTTATACTTCAGTGTAAGATGTTAATTTGTTTAAATTAAACAAATGGGGGCTTTCATCACAGTTGTTCTCTATCAAAGTTCAGGGTGACTGTGGCTCCAGAGTGTGAAACACAAACACACTGTACTTAAACCTAAACTTACTCTTAGTTATTAATTATGCCTTTGTTTTAGGTGAGCAGTTCTCAAATTTTTTGATCTCAGGACTCAATAAAATTACTGAGGATCCCAAAGAGTTTTTGTTCATGTGAGTTATATCTCTTGATATTTACCCTATTTGAAGTTAAAACTGATAAATTTTTAAGATACTTATTTCTTAATTAATTTAATAATAACAACAATAAATCAATTACATGTTAACATAACATATTTTTAGGAAAATAATTATTTTTCCCAAACAAAAAAAAATAGTAAGAAAACTGCTTTTACAGATTTTTGCAAATATCTTTAATGCCTGGCTCCATAGAAGACAGCTGGATTCTCAAATCTGCATCTCCATTCAATCTGTTGTGATATGTTGTTTTGGTGGAAGTATATGAAGCAAATCTGGACCCATGCAGTTATGCAGTTGAAAAAGGAAAGAGTATTTTAATAGGTAAGTAATGTCTTAGTATTATTGTGAAAATATTTTTGACTTTAAATGATCTCCTTGAGGGGGTCTCAGCGGCACCCCTGCTATTTTAGGCCATTGGTGACAGTTTTTTAGTTAAACAGACATTTAGCTTGCTACTAGCCATTATATTTTATTTTTTTTATATTTTATATAACTATATATGATCATATTACATATTAGTATTTCTCTTAATACGTTGTCTATAGCCATCTCTTTCCCTTAGCACATTATAGTGTGTTATACTTATTTGTGTATTTCTTGCTTTTTCTCACTCCCAGACTATAAATTGCTTGTGGTTAGGGGCTGTATTGTTTGATAATGATAATGGTTTGCTTACACAATACAGAGCTTGAAGATTTACAAAGTGTTTTACATCCAGGAGCTCATTTTATCCTCACAACAAACCCTTGAGGTACAGTTTGCAATCTCTATTTTAAAGAAAACGGTGATTGAGGGGCAGCTAGGTGAGCAGTGGATAGAACACTGGCCTTGGAGTTCAGGAGGACCTGAGTTCAAATCCAGTCTCAGACCAGATACTTGACACTTGCTAGCTGTGTGACCCTGGGCAAGTCACTTAAGTCCAATTGCTTAGCCAAAAAGAAGGGAAGGAAGGAAGGAAGGAAAGAAGGAAAGAAGGAAGGAAGGAAGGAAGGAAGGAA